AATGTATCATTGTGGAATGACATAGAGTGACATTTAAATCAGCGCCGCATATCGGATTTATTTCGCTTAGCAAAGGGGGAAACGTCGTACTCGCTCCTTTTATTAAGTCGAATTAAGTTAGATAGTATTTACTGCAAAATACCTGAAGCGATGCACAATGCAACTAAAAGAAATGAATAATAATGCATGTTGATTCCGAATCGTAATTTTCCAAATAAACTATGGAGTAATTGAATCAATCGCCAATAATTCGCGAAAGTACTAATGTACACTAAAAATGAAGGCCACTCATTTTATTATTATATATTGTACAGCTTCCTTACAATTAAGACGAAGTTCTAATCAATCTTATCACACACATTTATTTATACAAAAAAATTGATTATGATTTAAAACAAACGAACAAAATGGAATCGAATTCAAATGGAACCGTGACCTAGAGATTAGAAAAAACCGATTGCTTCTCAGTTGGCTTATCAATTATTTTAATGAGACTTGATTGTTTTGTTAACAACATATGTTTAATATGGACACGTTAACCCGGGTGAAAAAAAATGTTTGAACATTTTGTATATGAAAAGCCTAATTATATGTAGATACGCAAATAGGTGCAGTACAGACTTTAGGTGGGTAATGTGTAAGACGACTTGTAAAAATTGTTTGGTCTAATGAAGCCGATTTATACTAGTATATTTATTCAATGACTCAAATGGTAACAGTAAACCTGATTAGTCATTTATTCACACACGGGTAAAATATTAACTATTTAAAAAAATCAAATAAGTCGACTGAATTCCATCAGAATAAAAAAAATTATTTGATTTAACTCATTTTTGATACTCAAAATATACTTTGCCGAACGAAAACAAAATTTATTTTAAACTTTGCAAAATTCAACGCAACAAAATCTCTTACAAAAATACATTTCAACTTTGAGGAAAGACCAGAGTCGGTTCTAATTCCACCAGAGTCAGCGTACACAGATTTTGGCGGTGCCTTCAATTGAATCGCCTTTGGTGCATCATTTGATGACGATGGCCTTGAAGAACATGGGCCAGCAAATTGATTTGACTCATGTTGAAAACCCATTGTACGCACTATAAAACGTTGCTTGTATGGACATCAAGCTTTGTTCGAGCATCTGGGCATTTAGCACCTTACTTTCAGTTGGATTGAATGAGCCGAATTTTTCGAAAACATTTCGAATATGAACATTGAGCTCCTGTTCAAAAAAAATTGTTAAATAAAGCAATTCCAATTGAATAAGACTTTGTCCTTACCATTAGAGCATTGTTGAATTCATCGGTTTGTGCGCTTTGAATAGGATTTCGTTGTGCATATAAAATGCATTGTGTCACTGGTACATCGTCTTGAGTGTGATCACCGAAAAACACGACATTTGCCATGGCACCAGTGATTGACATAAGCTCCGCCGGCCAGTACGGAAAATGAGTTGCTTTCGCCATAGCAACGGTTAGATGTAGTTTTGTGCATACTTTAACGAAATAATTGTCGTGATCGGAGGCCCAGTTTTCAAAACATTCAGGGCATGTCCGAATGCTCTTTACACCGAGATGGCACAATTTGGACAAACGATTGATGATATGTTTAACACCTCCTTCAGCTGTGATGGACGAAATAAATGATCAAAACTAAACCACTAAACCTCATAGGATCGGTAAAGAATCCGGTTTTATGGTGGCGAAATAATGATACTTACTCCCAAATTGAATGTAGTAGCTTCGAACCAACGCTTTGATATCCGCCAAAAATTCTTCAACGTTGGCATAGCTGTCAAACTTGTGTGCTATACCATTCAAACCAATCGTACTAAGCATGGGATGTAGCGTTGAAAATTCATCTTTGAGAATGTTGTTCTAGAAAATATTCAATGCATCAAATTAAATGTGGCTTCCACATAGCACCAATATTACTCTTGAAAAAAATAAGTGAAATTCTTACCTCTTACATTTGCATGATGTTTGTTAAACTCTATTTCAATAGTCGCCATTGATTTTGTTTTAATTGCAAAGCAGCCGATTTGGATGATGTTTGGATTCGGCGAACAATCGGTGTATTCATTGTGTCTTCACTTGGTTTTCACTTCATTTAACTGAAAATAATTTGACTTTTGCTTAAACGGTGATTTGTACCAGAGAAAATAGACAACACCACTGACATTCAGTGCAAATATGAATTGAGTTGGTTTTTCTTACTTTTCTTATGCTCCAAGGATCCTTTCGTATTTTCAATGTAAAATCTTATTCGCACTTTATATGATTCTATTTTCAAAAATGAACTATAATTAAACTGACCAACATATATAATTTCGGCTAAAGTCAAATCTCCATAAAAATCAAAAGAGACGCGATCAATGTTCAGTGAATTGTGGAATTTATTGTGAATTTTCTATTTTTTATAAATAGATTGTATGATTGATTTGATCAAAATTAATTAAAATACCTTTCCCATACTAGGTATGCGGAAATGTAAAAATTCCGAAATAATTTTACATTTTTTTTTCTAAAAAAAAGTAACGAGCGAGTTGGTTTGTGTCTATTCGTCGTCTTCATTATTTTCGCGGCATCCCTAGAGCAATTGTTTCTTCAACGCCTCAATTTCATTTTTAATTTCCTCATTCTCATGCGTCAATGAATCAATTACTCGATTGGCCTCGGTCAATCGTCGTCGAAGTTCGATGGGACATTCTTCTGACGATTCGTCATCGAATATAGTAACTTTATTCGGAATGACATCGTCGATGTCATCGTTCGTAGCATGGCGTTTGCGACCCCGAAGACCACCGGATTCAATGTGTTGTTCGGCGTTTAGTTCGTCAAGCAGTGGCACATCCAATGATGAACTTTCTGTCGGGCAATTCGGTTCGGATGGGTCAATACTAATCGGACTGGGTAATTCAGCATCAAGAAATGCACCTGGAATCATATCTCTCAATTGTTGTTTTATATTGTGCACGCTCAGCTGCGTTCGAAATTTGGCCGGATAAAAGGAACCAAACCTATTCTTGATACATTCAATGTGTGCTTCGAGCTCCTAAATTCAGACGAAAAAATGTTCACAGTTCATACATATGTTCAGTACTTCATGGACAAATGACGACAAAACTCACATCAATAGCTTCATTGAATGATTTGCTCTTGCCCTTCTTCGATGCCTTTTCCGAGAACAATTGGCAGTCCGATTCAGCGACATCGGCCTGGGAGTGATCACCGAAAAATTCAACATTCACACCATGATCCAATACAGTCATCACCTTGGCGGGCCAACAGCGATAGTTGGCAAATTTTGCGAAAACAATCAAATGTGGTGGACTGCATGCTTCTTTGAAATAATCCGTTCGGTCTTTTTTCCACTTTGCAAAGCATTCAACGCATGCACGAATGCCATTTGCATCTTTGACAAGCTCATTTTTTATTTGTTTTGCCAATTTCTTTTCGATGTCGGTACCTGAAAATAGCATTCCATCATTTTAGTCAACCATTTGGTTAGGTTAGGTTTTGGCATTGATGCCAAATAAAGAAAATTATGTTGGTCTCTTGTATCTGTTGGGAAATTGATGCCAGCCAGATTTGATTAATCAATGCGTTTGATCTTTCGGTTCACAATAAAACAGCCGAATTCTGAAGAAAGAACACTAATTAACACGAAAATTGGAGACTGTCAGTTCTGGTATGACCTTGACTGAAAATCGACGCAAAAAATGTTTCACTTGCACACATAATTCGATCTGACCGATGCACGTCGTTAGTACAACACACGTCAACAACCTAACCAAAAACATCAACTTACCCGAATCAATGTAGTTCTGTGTCCAACGCAAAACACCGTCTAAATACTTGTCGAATTCATGCATTGTGTTGACATCATCTTCCAGCTCATGCAATTTTTTCATGAAACATTTTCGATACTGAAATACATGTCAATTTATTAGCATTTTCAATTAAAAAAAAAACCACAATTGTGTCCATACTTTTGATATGGCCGTAATACGCTTGAAGCTGTACTTCAACAAACTTAATTGGTTGACTTGTGATTGGGATGCATCAAATTCACTGCCCATGCAACTGTCACGATCACCATTTTCATCTTCCATCACAATCAAATAGAAAATACTTGGAAAATTTTTGAAATAATCAGCGAAAAATGTGTATGGAAAATTGTTGTGCACAAACGCGACGGTGTACTAATATTGCTGTCAAAATATCAGCGACTTTGACAAGTGACTTTTTCATTGGTACATTGAGTGCGTTCAGTGGTGCCATTCAAATTGTTCCACTTTCAAAACAGACACATTCAATACGATTGTATATAAAAACAATTTTAATTGAACTAAATGGATTCATTGTTTTGTAATTTTAATGAATTTTTTTTTCTAATCAAAGACATGGAAGATCAAGGAGTGAAAGGGACTAGAAAAAATAAAACGATTTAAATTAATTTTATACAGTTCTTTTTATTTTGTCAATTAGAAGTGATTGTATTAGCGGAATAATTATCAACGGCCAATTTCGTGAGAACATTTTTTAAATTTTTTCCGTTTTATATTATTTTCGTGATTCCTGAAGTACTTCTGTGCATCTCTCTTACGTCGATCTCTTCAAGTGCTAGCAGAAATGCATTCTCTGATATATCTCTAATTACTAAATATTTCAGGGATGTGGACTTTGTCACGTTTGGTATACCATCGCCATCACATTTTTTAGGTCCAGGTTCTCAATGAGCACATCAAACTTCTCTCTTTCATTCTCATAAAAGAAGATTCTTCTTAGAAGAAGCATATTTCAATCACTAATTATTCTGATTTAAAGCACATTTAAGTCTTTGAAGACTAATGAGCTGTGACTATTGAAATTGGCCCACTCAATCACGTCGAGTCATTACTAATGACTTATTAGTGAAAATGATTTCACTTGAAAAAATGGATTAGATTGAAACATTTTTTGTTCGGTAATTGTTTTTATTGCTTTAATTTATTTTCATCTTTCTTATTCAATATGTACAACTTTTTTGATACCTTTAGATACAACATTTCGTGGAATATGGATGCTCAAAAAATGTACTTTTACTTTTCCGCACACCTAGTGTAGGGAAGGTATTGTATTAGGCCAA